GGCAGTACTCACGACCAGGGCAGTTGGCCTCGTCGCTGCCATCATAACAATTTGGTGCGCCGTTGCACCAGAGCTCTGAAGGGATAGCCTAGCATTGCTACCGCAATGCTCTCTAGTTGTGCTGGAAGCGTTGTGAAGAGACGGTTTACTCTAATGAATGCAAGTTTGTGTGATTTATTCTCCGTGCTCGATAGTTGATGTTCCTCGAGTCCTGGTTACGCCTGGAAACTCAGGAAAGGGTTTCCGGGCGGTGGCAGGAAAGCCATCACCCGAGCCGGCTTGGATCGAAGCTGGGCGACGGATGTTATGCCTGCCCGGAACCTGGATGCTACCAGCTCCAGGCGATCCAGCAGAAGATGCTCGACCGTGTGGAAGATTGCATGAAATTAAGGGCACATGTTCGAGTGAGTGCTGTCCAGGCGGTGTTATTTAGGAGTACTGTGAGGGTTGGTGACCACAGCGGAGTCTGCTGAGGTTCGCCCTCTCTGCACGGTTCAACTGCGGCTCTGTATGGCTGCTGTCTGGCGGTCTGTCGTCTATGACATTGTTAATTTGTGGATTCGAGAGAGCGTTCGGATTAGATATGTTTGTATTTATTTGGAGAAGTTGGGTGGGTCTTTGGGCGGGGGTAAGGAGTTAGGTACTGTGAGATAGTTGTTGAATGTATTATTAGTTATTTACCTGGGTGTAGGGGTAAATGTTGAAAATGATGGCAGGAGCTGAGGGGGTTGTAGAGTGCTGATGCAAGGAATTAGGTGCCTCTCATATCTAAGTATTCTTTCAGAAGGAGGGCATTGTTTTCTGCGTGGACGTGGCTGGATGGTGTGGTTTGGGTGCTTCCAAGTGCGATTCATTCTGAGTGCTGTATTTTGTATGGTTTGTAGTTGGTTGCGGCGGAGTGTGGGTAAAATAATGGGTGTCCAGGCTGGACTGTCATATTCAACCACTGAGCGTAAATATTGTTTGTACACTAGTGTGAGAGTTTCTTTGTTCTGTCCGAATGCTTTTCCTGTGATGGCTCTAAGTGTGTTTAGCCTGGGTCTGCAATTATTTTAATGATCTGTATGTTTGGCCCGAAAGACATGAAAGTGTTGTAAGTGACACCTAAAATCTTGGTTTCATGTGTGTGTGGTATAATTATTTATGTGAGTGTTGGTCTGTGTTGATGCTCCTTTCTGTGGCTTATTAGTAGTGTCCTTGTTGATTTAGTGGGGCTACTTTGTGTAAAGTAGCCCCGAGTAGTGTAAACTATTACTCTACTTTGTGTAAAGTAGATTTAGTGGGGCCCTCTATTTGTGTAATGTAAGGTTGTACTTGTGACTTGTGTGGAGCATGTGTTTTCATTGGTGTGTGTTGATGTAACTGTAATGTCGTCTGCGTAGTATGAAATTTGAATGTTGACTAGTGGGGCTGGAATGTCATGCATGCATGTAAAGATTGAAAAGGGTTGGTGAGAAGACTGAACCTAGTGGGTTCTCCGTTCGGTATGTTCTTTGCGTTTGATGACTTGCCATTGTAGTGTACGAATGACTGCCTGCCTGTTAAGTAGTTGGCAAGCCAGCGTCTATAGCGTTGTTAAGTAGAGTTGTATTGTATATTTTATCTGTGAGTAAGAGGCGCGGAATGGGATCAAAGGCTTTGCTCATGTTGATTGTTATCAGGAGATGTGCAGGGCGAGGGTCACTTAGAGTTGATGCCATCTTGTATACTTTGAGTGAGGTTGGTGAGGAGTGTAGTGGTTGGGTGATGGGCTCTATAACCATGTTGTGCGGGTGAGAGGGAATGTGAGGCGTGGTTATCGAGAGTATAAGGCGTTCCATAACTTTAGATGGTGTGCAGAGGAGTGTATTGGGCCTATAGGAAGCTGACTCGGTTGGGGGTTTATTCGGTTTCAGGAGGGTTATGATTTTGAAGTTCCCAGATTGATGATATAATGCAGTGTGCGTATAAAAAGTTAGCCATATTTGTGAGAGTGGTGATACCATGCGGGCCGAGGTACTTAAGATGAATGCTAGAGATGTTGTCATGCCCAATTGCTGAATAATTGTTGAGCTATTTTATGACGCGTGAGATGTCGGATGTTTTGGCTAAGATGTAATTGTTGTCTAGTGGGAATTTGTGCTTGCACCTGTGAATTTGTATGTCTGCCCTATGTTTGGGGAGGTGACTGCAGCTGGCATAATGATTTATCAATATGTTGGACTGCTGGTGGTAATAGGTGGTAATAGCTGAGTGAGATGGGGTGAGGCCACTGTTGGAGTTAGTGAGGCTGCGGATTGTTCTATATAGTTTTGAGGAGTTAGTGTTAGGTTTAGTATCACCGCAAGCTCTACCCAGAGCTGCTTGTTTATTAATTATTAAGTTTTTTTTTTCACTTAATTCATGGCTGTGTTCTATAGTTGCCTGTGAGTGTGGTGTTGGTGTGCGTCGTAGGTTGTTGCGAGTTCGAATGAGACGGGAGATGTCAGGTGTGAAATTAGGGTTGTAATTTTTCCTGTTGACCTTGGGTACACATTTCTTGTCTTCGATCCTCGGTCATGACGGTGTTGCAGTGGGTGAGGGCGTGGTCAATGTTGGTGATGGGTATTGTGTTCAGCTCCCGAAAGTGGACCTTTGTTTCCCTGGAGAAGTCTTTCCAGGAGCTTCACTTGTAATTGCGAATGGTTTGCTAAGTGTGCAGGTTGGTGCCTTTGGTGGGAAGCAGTGTGATGATAATGGGTAAATGGTCATATGAGAGGTCCGTTTACGCTCTCCAGGAAGTCCTGTGTGAGAGTGATGGCAGGCAGAAGGTGATGTCTGGGGAGGTAAGTCTATATAAGGCTTGATGTGGTATGTGAGTGGGAGTGAGTGTATTGTTTAGAATGAAAAGCAGATCTAGTTGGTTGCAGATCTCCAGCCTTCGAGCAATGGTGTATCATGGGTTGTACCAGTCTGAATGCTTCGCCTTGAAGTCACCTCCAGGAATCAGGTCTGGTAGCGTATTTAATGCTTGCAGTGTGGGAGTGCAGAGGTCCGGTAAACCCAGTGAGTGTTCTGGAGGAATGTAAATGTTGGTGAGGGTAATCTATTTTTTTGTAACCTGTCTGGATGTGAAATGCTTGTAGTCCTGCTTGCCTGTCGAGTTGTGTTAGGGTTCTGATGTGCTGTGTTTTCTCCAAGTAGGCTATATTATGGTGGATATATGAAATTAATCCACCACATTGCTCCTGTTGCCTATCCTATCTTATGGCAGTGTAGTTTGGGATGGATGGTGTCTTGTGCAAGTGCCTGAGCTTTGTCTCTTGTATGATGGCGACGTAAATTTCGTTGGAGTGCATGTATAGTTTGAGTTCGACGTGCTTGATGCGTAGGCTATCAGTGTCGAGTGGTAGGATGTTGAAGTTGTGATGGTAGATTGGCGGTGTGCTGGCTTGTGGTCGAGCAGGAGAGACTGGGCGAGACGGAGAGGAAGGCCCGAGACCCAGGCAGGGGTCAGGTAGCAGCGGAAGAGTAGGGGAGCGCACCGGCGAGTGGGAACCGGTGTAAACGGGTGGATTTGCGGCGCTGATGTGTTGGCCAATGGAAGGCACAACGAGCAGGACTAATTGCTGCTTTTAGGTCTAAGGATTGGAAGCAAAATGCACTTGAGGTGGAACAAGCGACTGCTATTGTTGCTCAAGACAGATCCTCCACCTGTGCAAGATGTTAGACTCGTGGTGCAGTTGAGGCAAAAGGTGATAGGGCCCGGTTTGATTTGATGTCGGCACCGAGCAGGAGAAGGTAGAAGGACCTTGCAGCCGGGTCTTCAAGTCCCCCATCAGAAAAAATCGTTGCTCCAAGCCTACTGGTAGTGCCTCCCAGAACGCAAAACTGGGGAGCCATCTCCCAACCACTCTGCAGTGAGTTTGAAGTGGAGGGGTCTCGCCACGACGTAGATGCGCCCCCAATAGCGAGCGTGCTCGATAGTTGCTTAGACTGGTAGAGTTATAGTTAATACTATCATCCCCTAGCTCATTTATTTTGTTAGGTTAACCATTTATGTCCTCAACAAAGCAGAAACAATTCAAACCAAAGACTCTCATGAGAGTGGCGCAAATATGAAATAATTAAAGATTGTTTGTTAGGGCCAGTGAAGGAAGCAATGGATTCATTGTGTAAACCAATTCCTACTAATGAAAATCATGGAAAATTTTATCCTTTAACCAGTTATTTACAAATGTAGCCAAAACTATAGTTTGCATAAGAACGAAAAAACTCTCGGTACGTTTTTCAGCTATCATCTGCCTATACTCTATATCATATTCAAAATATACAATTTATTTTTTGCAAAAACTTTCCGATGGAAGTGAGACAACCACTAGACTAAATTTTTACCGCACAAAACGCTCAGCAAAGAATAAAACTGAGATAAGCAGTAATTTTGAAGAGGGCAACTTCGGTGACATAGGTGGAAGAAAATTCTGTCTGTCGCGCGACAAAGAAAATAATACTTAATAAACCATTTGCAAGATTAGCAATTATCAATTACAGTGTATAGACTAGAAAAACAGTATTTACATTTCTTTATGTCATCTTTTCTAAATAATGTAGAATATGAATATTACAATTAAATTTACGAATAATGTATTGTATCATAGATGAAATAAAATTGAGCTAAAGTATTAGTTTTAAATTTAAAAAATCTAGCCAATTTCAGAAAAAATTTGTGGAAATTCCAGCTTCTAAATTTATCGAAGCGTTTCAAAAAATCTTGCGTGTTTTGTTTGTGCCCATGCAGCTGTCAGAAAAAATTGCTCGTTGAGCCATCAGGTCAAGGGGTATTATGGGTGACAGATTGAATTTATTTAATGCCTCGGTTTGTCCACTGCAAGTAGCCTGTATACTTCAGGGGCGAGCCATAGGGTTGGTGAGAACGGCGAGAGCGAAAATATGGGTATATTGATGATGAATTAAACATCCAAAGGATGTTTAATATATAAAACATCCATTATATAGAAAGAGACACTGAAAAGTGTACTCACGACCAGGGCAGTTGGCCTCGTCGCTGCCATCATGACAATTCGGTGCGCCGTTGCACCAGAGCGTCCAGGGGATACAGAGTCCATCACGACATTGAATCTCCCCAGGCCCGCAACCTGTGACTGCAATTGTGAGAATATTGACTTGAACAGCGTTTATATATTATGAATGTCATATAAATTTATTTTTCTTTGTGGTCCGCAAAAAATTGAATCAAATAATTTCACAAAAAAACACGTCTAAATAATTACAATATTTATTTCATTCTAGTATTGACCACATAATCATTGGTTAAGAACATTCCGTCATAAACTGAGCAAGTGAGTTAGTCAGAAGATAAATGCAACAAACTGAATCGAACCTGGTTTGCACATATATTCACTGAAGCAAAATTACTTTTCTCAGCAAACAGCGTTCTAAATTCTTGAGTAAAGTAATACCCGTGTCGAAAGTTAATCACATGTTAACCTTGAACTTGGTTAAACTACAGGGTCCGGTTTATTTATGGCAACGGATGTTTGTTATTTAAAAATAAATTGGTTTCAAGGAGACTTTTCTTTTATAATGAAGCTTAATTTTATCTATTAATTCATCTATTTTATATTGCAGAAGTCTAAGGTGTCTTTATTTACTATTATTTATGGCAGTAGATAGAAATGCAATTGTAACACTTCATGAAAAGGGAGAGAGTAATTCAGTCATTGCAAAAAAGCTCCAAATTCGTCGTGAAACTGTGTGGAAGGTGGTAAAAAATATAAATTAAACTGGTAAAACATGCAATCGACCTGGTCAAGGAAGGAAACGAAGTGTCCGAACAAAACAATTGATCAAAAACACGAGGGAGAAGTTGAGGAGAAACCCTCGTCGCTCAGCTGCAAAATTGGCTGCAGAAGCAGGAGTCAGTCTGACAACGATGCGTATAGAGTCCTCAAAGATGACCTCAAAACCTTCCCTTACAAGATGCAAACAAGGCATGAACTAACAGACCTTCATGAACGAATGAGGCTCGATCATTGAAAAGCGAGCTCAATTTTTCACTCAGCGAGCGCACCATCTCACTCAAGGCGTTTACTACATCATTCAACGATTTCGTCTCATTGCCTTGCTCTTCCACCGTTTTTTCGCTTTTTCGAATACAAATAGTTGGTTCTTTGCAGTCACGACAAAACCAATGAAGTAATTTAGTTTTATGGAGAAACAAGTATTCGTCAGAGCTCAACTTCGAGCATTCGAGCAGCTGATACAAATGAAGTCTTCGCAGCGTTCACAGATGACTGTCTGATCTGCCTCGCTCACAGAGATCTCTTTGCAGTGTTTTCAAACTTTCATCTCTGACTTAGCTGATTTGATTTTAGCCTTTTGTCTAGCAGAACTAGAAGGCTTTTCTCCTACCTTTTTTTTCTCTGCCCAGCCAACGTACAATGCACGGAGGAAAACACAAGTTTGAAACTGAATTGATTTGAGTAGGGTTGAAGTTAAAATTATATTTCAAACAGAATTGGAAATTAATAATACAATGCACGGAGAAAACACAATTTTGATATAACTCTTTGAGTAGAGTTAAAGTTCCGTCAAATATTACGACTCCTGCTGAGCAAGGAGATTCAGCTGAACAGCTGAGCGAGGGGAGAGAAGTGGGCTGAGGGAATGAAGGGCTCGCGACAGAGGGGTAGAAAGGGTGAAGGGCAGGATAAGGGTCCCTAGACGGCGGGCAGCGTAGAGGTAGACGGAGGGGCAAGGGTGAAGTTGACGGAGCTCGATTCAAGGAAGTAGTCTTAACAGAAGGCACTTCGCCTATCTTCGACACAAGGTGTCATCACTCACTAGATTTACCCTCGTTTTTCAGCATGAAAAACAGGGAACCGCTAGTTACTTGCTTCCACTATCTGTTTGCATTCTCTTTCACTGACTTCATTTCAAGTCATTCAGTAATACAAAATGTGTTAATACAGTTCAACCGCATAGTGAAAAGGCAAGCTGTGAGCCCGCGCAGCACGCACGTCTGTCTTGTGACACGGCTCAACCGCGACTCTATGATGCGACGTGAATTTTTCTGGAGTCCGTGCATAATTTGAGTTCGACGTGCTTGATGCGTAGGCTATCGATGTTGAGTTGTATGAGGTTTTGAAGATGGAATGACGGTGTGCAGGCTATGTTGAGTTTCGAGGATTTGATGGTGGAATGGCGTTGTGCTGGCTTGTAGTCGAGCAGGTGAGACTGGACGAGATGGAGAGGAAGGCCCAAGGCGAGGGAGGGGTCAAGGTAGCAACGGAAGAGTAGGGGAGCGCACCGACGAGTGGAAACCGGTGAACACGGGTGGATTTGCGGCGCCGATGTGTTGGCCAATGAAAGGAACAACGAGCAGCACCAGTTGCTAGTATTGCGCCTAAGGGTTGCAAGTGAGGTGCGCTTGAGGGGGAACCAGCGTCTGCAATTGCTGCTCAGGACAGATCTTCCACCCACGCGAGAAGATGTTATACGCGTGGTGCAGGTGGGGGCATTAGGTGAGTTTGGGGCATGTCCCGAGTTTGGTTTGATGTCGTTACCGAGCAAGAGGTGAAGGTACAGTGACCTTGCAGCCGGGTTTCCAAGTCCTCCATCAGAAAAAAACGTTGGTTCAAGCCAACCGGGTAACGTTTCACAAGACGCAACACTCTTAGGAGCCATCTCCCTACGGCTCCGCAGTGAAGTTGAAGTGGAGGCAATTTAGCCCTCCCAGAGGGGTCTTGCCACGACGTAGACGCGCCCCCAATAGCGAGCGTGCTCGATAGTTGCTAAGACTAGTAGAGTTACACTAAATATTATCATCACCTCGCTCGTTTCTTTTGTTACGTTGATCATTTATGTCCTCACCAATGCAGAAACAATTCAAACCAAAGGCTCTCATGAGGGTGTCGCAATTATGGTTGTTGCATTGCTTCCATCACTGGTTGTTAGGTCCAGTGAAGGAAGCAATGGATTCATTTTGTAAACCAGGTAAGTGTGATATTGATGTTGCATATATTGACCCTGTGACACGTGTTGAGATAAATTCCTACAGATGCAAATCATGGAAAAATTAGTCTTTTAACCAATTATTTGCAAATTTAGCCAAAACTATTATAGTATAGTTTGCATAAGTTAGAAAAATGTAACTCAGTACTCCCTGCAGTGAGTGACAGAAAGCGCATTTTCTCGTCGACGAAAACGTGAACAGACAGACGGACATGGCGAGCACAATAGTGCATTTTTTAATATATGAGAAAATGCGCTAAAAACTCTCCTTATGTTTGTCAGCTATCATCTCTCTATAGAATATTCAAAATAATAAATTTATTTTAAAAACGTGCTGATGAAAGTAAGACAACCACTAAATTAAATTTGTACCGCAAAAAAATGGCCAACAAAAGGAATTCACTGAAGCCAAATTCCTTTCCTCGGCAAACAGCGGTGTAAATTCTTGAGTAAAATAATACCTGCCGAAAGTACTTCAGATGTTAACCTTGAACTTGTTCAAACTATTAATTTTATTGAACCCAGTTACACCAGAGGTTGTATACTATACCAGAGTTTATATTCGTTAAAAACCCTTTTAATAGATGTTATAATTAAACATTTGACACATATTTACATGACAAATAAAAATAACGACCGAGCACGTCATTGGGGGTTCGTCCCACCGAATTTCAATTGCATCAAGCGAACTTTTTTAATCGGCGCCTTCATGCGTGCCAGGCAGGAAGCTGATATGTTTCGTCATAAGAGCATTTAACATCCAAAATGTTTGAAATAAGTAAATAAGCTACAAATTTTTATCCGGTAGTTATAATTATTATTATAATAATAACTAATATCAATAATAATATTTCACCTATGACCTTGGCTATTTTATACATAAACGACTAGACAGCATTTTCGTAAATTTTAACTCATTATTTCCATTCAATAGAATAGAACGTCGGAGGTGCAAAAGGTTCGAGAACAAAACGGAAATAACGATTTTGCAAATTTACCAATATAAGCTGCAACAACGCTCACTAGTTGTGTTGGAGGCGTTGTAATGTGACGGTATCTCTATATACCTATTTATTGAATAATAGTTTATGTGCTTTATTATCTGCTCAATAGTCGCGAAACGAAAAAGTTCAATGTTATATGTATCATCTTTTAACTTCTTTCGTTTCTTAGGTTTAAAATTTATCTGCGCATGCCGAAGCAGAAACAATGTAAGCCAAGAACTCTCATGAGGATGGCGCAAACATGAATTATTTCAAGATTTGTTGTTAGAGCTTGTGAAGAAAGTTAGTGAAATAAAATTGTAAACCAGGCTAGTGTGACATTGAGAGCAAATACCTTGACCTTTCAAACCGGGTTCATTTAAAACATCGTAATGCATATCCAGAAAAAATTATCCCTCCTCCTGTTATTTGCACATTTCACCAATACTATATCTAGCATAAGTTCGATAAAACTCTGGTAACGAATGTCAACAATTATCTGTCAGTGACATTTTCAGACGATAGAATTTATTTAAAAAAGTGTTCATAAAGAAGAAACCGCAAAACTATATTTGCATCGCAAAATTTACAGTTATCAATAAAACTGAGATAAGCAGTCATTTTTAAGAAGGCATATTTAATCACATAGGGAGAAAAAAATTCGATTAATGATTATTCAAGGAAATCTGCTGTCATTATAATAATCAATCAAATAGTAAAGAATAAAGAAACTACAGCTTTGTTCCTAACTTCCTAATTCACTCTATATAATATAATTTAGAATAATTTAATAAGCAAATGATATATTTCTTCAAAGGTGAAATAAACCGAGCTGAAGCTGTGGCTGTAAATTTGGAATTTCTAGCCATTTAATGCTAAAATACATAAAATTCTAGCCTTCGACTCATCAAAGAGCTTTCAACGGAGAATAATAATACACGCAATACATTCTGCGTTTTCCGATACGCGAACCAAAGTTTTTTCGGGTCTCCAATGTACTAGGAAGTTTTCGGTTCAATATGCGTTTGGGCATGGCTTTATTTTTATGTTATGTTACTTTCCACATATTTTTGCAAAAAAGGGAAGAATCTTCAACTAAATGTTACAATGAGTTCAAGTTGCGTCAAAATTTCTCTCACCTGTGCAATTTAGTTCGTCTTCCGCGCCGAGGCACTCTGCTGTTTTGTTGCATCTAACTGACATGGGGAGGCAAAGGGAGCCGCACGCGAACTCGTCCGGCTTGCAGGTTGCTGAAACAAAGTGTNGATGTTTTGTTGCATCTAACTGACATGGGGAGGCATAGGGAGCCGCACGCGAACTCGTCCGGCTTGCAGGCTGCTGAAACAAAGTGTTTTGTTATCATGTATGTAGAGGTATTTTTCTTTCTCATTTATCTTCCTCAGCCTCATTCAAGAATTAGATGGGTGCTCTCATCCAGAAATTAGATGCAGTTTCTTTAGGTAGAATTACTTGGAATTGGGAACGCATTACTAAATTAAATCATTTAATTATTATGGAAGAATTATGACCTCTAGGAGATATTTCATAAAATAATATAATAAAAATTTAAATGAGCAATCTAAAAGTAAAATCGGAGAAATTGAAAATTATTACGCCAACTATGAAAAGAAAGTTTATCCTATCCAACGATTGATGATGATCTAAAAGATATCGAGATCTCCTTCTTTCACGAATGTTTTGTGCAACCTTGACATGTACCAACTTTTTTTTACAAGTGAATGCACACAAGAATTAAACTTACTACAGTTAGCTTCATCGGAGCCGTCCAAACATTCTGTTTTGTTGTTACAGACTTGCGTGAGATCAAGACACTCGCGACTAAGAGGACATCTGTATTTGTCTGTTGTATTGCAACCTGCACACATCGTAAACCGCATTAACGTATGCATCAATGGCTCGCATCGATAACTTGCATGAGTTAAATTTTGACGCTGGATAATTTATGAATGGTTCATGTAAGATTATGAACTACTTAATCATCGTGCTCACGAGTCTTTCGTTGCATGGCCTGAAGTTAAAAAGAAATAAATTGAACTAGTTCTTATTATGAGAGCATTCAGTTAGTATATTACTCACGTTAAACTGACATCCCACGCAAACGCATCAAAGCAAACTCTCCCAAATTAAATGATAATAAAAAGTGTGGGATGAGTTATTGGACTGAATCCCCACACTTACAGCAGATTGTGGGGTTTTCATCTTCTTTGCCTGGACAATCTTGTTTTCCGTCACAAAATAATGAGGCGTTCCGGCACGTACTTGTATAAAAGCTGTTACTTGCAAAGCCAACCACACAAGATCGCTGCCCCGCCCCACATGCTGAGATTTTCATATAAGCTGTAACTTAATTTTTTAAATTTATGAGTCTACTGTTTCATTTATCTTCGTCGTGTCTACAATAAGAACGAATTAGTTCAAATTTTGTGAGCCATTGAATTAATTAAGTAGAAATAAATCTGTGATACTTACATGAAAAGTGTTTATCAAGTATTAACTGTACAAATATTTATTAGCAAAAAAGAGTACAAGTTAAGAGACAGTAATAGACACCTATTACCTCGCCCTCCTGACTTACTGCAATTTAGTTCGTCAGATCCGTCATCACAGTCCACGACGGTGTCACAGACGAGATTGATACTGATACACTTGTTGTCGCTGCTGCATTTGTGATTCCCGTAACAATCTGTCAGTGATTGATTATATTGATGATTGTTCTGTGATTCATTATATAAATTTTTAAAACTAATTACGTCTGGTGAAAGGAAGAGGGTCTTTTATTTATTGCAAAGCTGTGCGAAATTATTTTCCTGAGTCATAGGCAGAGGTCAAAGCCTTCGCTATGTGCAGTAAAAAGATCAATAAACATATTTGTGTGTACAAAATTTGCTCATTTTTGTGTACAATACAAACTCAGATGCAAATCATAGTTCCAAATCAAGGGCAATTTATTGAGTCAGATTATTCATGGAACGGGTAATCGAACTTATCTTTCATTCTATATAATAACGTTATGAATAATGCACATTCATAATGTGATAAAAGTGTCAGCAGCTCAGGCCAAAAATTGTGAGATTCAAAAAACTTTTACATTGATAAATCAGCATTTTCTAATTAATTTCTCAGATGAGCTCGCACCCTTGGCCTCGCTCTTTTCTTAACATTTATTCCACATATCAATCGTTTCATTCCTTATTTATTGATACGTTGCTCAGTGAGTGCATGAAAAAATTATTCTTGACTTTTTTATTCATACCGGTTCAATAATGATTGAAATAATGGACTTACCACATGAGTTCCAATCTTCGTCGCTGCCGTCCGCGCAGTCATTAACGCCATCACAAACTTGAAGGTCAATAATGCATGATCCATCGTTGCAACTCCATGCGCCGTCGAAAGGACAAACTGTGCCTTTCGTGCTCTCCGTGCTCTTCGTGCTATTCGTACAAACACCTGCACGAGCAATTAAAATAATAGAATCTTGCCTTGCTTCTACTGCAGTAAATGTTGCTTTAATGGATTTATCAAGCCAGACCTTGCAAACTAACGCCTCTCATGTGAATGTAGTAAAGATTGGTTGTAAGAGCATGTGAAGGAAGTCAGTGAAATCAAATTGCACACAAGGTTTCTGTGACATTGAGAGTAAATACTTTGACCATTCGACACGAGTTGATTTAAAAACATCGTAATGCAAATCCAGAAAAATTATCCCTTCTCCTGTTATTTAGCCAATACTATATGTAGCACAAGTTCGATAGAACTCTGAATACGAATGTCAGCTATCATCTGTCTAGCATTTTCAGATTATCGAATGTATTTTGAAAAAAAAAATGTTCATGGATAAGCAACCACAAAACTACATTTATATTGCAAAAATTTTCAGTTATCAATAAAACTGAGATAAGCAGTCATTTCCAAGAAGGCTTACTTAATTACGATGAGGACACAAATTTTGATTGAAGAGTGATAAAGAAAATATTATTTTATGAACAATCTGCTGCCATAATAATTGTCAGTTAGAGAGTAGAGAAAAAGGAGATACAACTACGTTCCTAACTTGTAATCTACTCTGAATAAAAACTCATACTCTCAAAAAATTTTTAGTTACAAATGAAACGTTTTTCCACGGATGAAATGAATCGAGGTGAAGCTGTAGCTCTAAATTTTGAATATCTAGCAAATAATGGCAGAAATCCATGAAATTTCCGGCTTTCAACTTTTCAAAGTGTTTTTAACATAGTATAATAGTGCTCGCAATACATTTTGAGTCATGCGACCCGCGAATCAGTGGTTTTTGGGGCTCCAAAGTTCCAGGGTAATTTCGGTTCAATATGGTTTCGGCACGGCTTCATTTTATTTGTATTATTTTTTTCTAATTCTTCTTCTTCCCACACCTTCCTGCAAATTAGGGGAGAGTTTTTGAGTTCGACGTGCTTGGTGCGTAGGCTATCAATGTTGAGTTGTAGGATATTGAGATTTTGATGGCGTATTAGCGGCGCGCTGGATTGTGGTCGAGCAGGAAAGACTGGGCGCGACGGAGAAGGAGGCCCAAGGCGCAGGCAGGGGTCAGGTAGCAGCAGAAGAGTCGAGGAGCGCACCGGTGAGTGGGGATTAATCGGTGTACACGGGTGGATTTGTGGCGCGGATGAGCTGGCCAATAGGAGGCACAACGAGCAGAATCAGTTGCTAGTATTGCGCCTAAGAGTTGGAAGTGAGGTGCGCTTGAGGGGGAACCAGCGTCTGCAATTGTTGCACAGGACAGATGCTCCACCCATGCGAGAAGATGTTACATGCGTGGTGCAGGTGGGGTACAAGATGATAGGGACCGAGTTTGGTTTGATGTCGGCACCGAGCAGGAGGAGAAGGTATATGAACCTTGCAAGACGCACCTCCAATAGCGAGCGTGCTCGATAGTTGCTAGGACTAGTAAGAGTTGCAGTAAATATTATCATCCCCTCGCTCATTTCTTTTGTTGGGTTGATCATTATTGTCCTTCCTAAATCAGAACCAATTCAAACTAAAGACTCTCATGAGAGTGGCACCAATAAGAAATAATTGAAAATTGGTTGTTAGGGCCAGTGAAGGAAGCAATTGATTCATTCTGTAAACCAGGTGTGTGACATTGATGTTACATATTTTGACCCGATGACACGTGTTCAGATAAATTCCTACTAATGCAAATCATGGAAAGATTGGTCCGTTAACCAGTTATTTACAAATTTAGCCAAAAGTATAGTTTGCATAAGTACGAAAAACTCTTGTTACGTTCGTTGGCTATCATCTGTATTTAGCATATTCAGAATAATAAAATTATTTTTTTTGTAAAAGGCGCTATGATGAAAGTGAGACAACCACTAAATTAAATTTATACCGCACAAAATGTTCAGCGACGAATAAAACTGAGATAAGCAGTAATTTTGAAGAAGGCAACTTCGGTGACATAGGAGGAAGAAAATTGTGATGTTGTGTGACAAAGTAAATGATACTCAATGAGCCATTTGCTGGATTGGCAATTTTCAATTACTATGTAGACTGTAGAGCATAGAAAAACAGAATTTACATTTCTTTATCAATTCTAATCTAAATAATGTAGACTAGAACAATTAAGTTTACGAATAATGTATTTCATCATGGATGAAATAGAATCGGGCTAAAGTTTTAGCTTCAAATTTTAAAAATCTAGCTAATTTGAGCTAAAATTTGTGAAAATTCTAGCTTCTAAATTCATCGAAGCGTTTCGAAAGATCTGCAGGCGTTCTGTTTGTGCCCATGCAGCTGTCAAACAAAACTGCCCGTTGGGCTTTCAGGTCAAGGGGTATTATGGGTGTCAGATTGATTTTATTTAATGCCTCGGTTTGTCTATTGCAAGTAGCCTGTATCCATCAGGGGCGAGCACTTCGGGTTCGGGTTCGTAGCGGCGGCGTCCTCTTAGTAACAAGCCAATGGGTAGGGGAGAAAGGCAAGAACTAAAATACAGGCGTTATGATGATGCTTTAAACATCCAATGGAATTATATTAACAGATACACTGAAAAGTGTACTCACGACCAAGGCAGTTGGCCTCGTCGCTGCCATCCTGGCAATTCGGTGCGCCGTCGCACCAGAGCGCCCAGGGGATACAGAGTCCATCACGACATTGAATCTCTCCAGGTCCGCAACCTGTGACTGCAATTGTGAGAATATTGACTTGAACAGCGTTTATATATTTTGTATGTCATATAAATTTATTTTTCTGTGTGGTCCGCAAAAAATTGAATCAAATAATCTCACAAAAAACACGTCCAAATAATTACAATATTTATTTAATTCTGGTATTGACCACATAATCATTGGTTAAGAACATTCCGTCATAAACGAATTGAGCAAGTGAGTTAGTCAGAAGATAAATGCAACAAACTGAATCGAACCTGGTTTACACATATATTCACTGAAGCAAAATTACTTTTCTCAGCTAACAGCGTTCTAAATTCTTGGGTAAAGTAATACCCGTGTCGAAAGTACGTACATCACATGTTAACCTTGAACTTGGTTAAACTACAGGGTCCGCTTTATTTATGGCAACGGATGTTTGCTATTTAAAAATAAATTGGTTTCTAGGAGACTTTTCTTTTATAATGAAGCGTAATATCATCTATTAATTCATTTATTTTATATTGCAGAAGTCTAAGGTGTCTTTATTTACAATTACTTATGGCAGTAGATAAAAATGCAATTGTAACACTTCATGAAAAGGGCGAGAGTAATTCAGTCATTGCAAAAAAGCTCCAAATTCGTCGTGAAACTGTGTGGAAGGTGGTAAAAAAATTAAATTAAACTGGTGAAACATGCAATCAACCTGGTCAATGAAGGAAACGAAGTGTCCGAACAGAACAATTGGTCAAAAACACGAGGGAGAAGTTAAGGAGAAACCCTCGTCGCTCAGCTGCAAAATCGGCTGCAAAAGCAGGAGTCAGTCAGACATCAATGCGTAGAGTCCTCAAAGATGACTTCAAAACCTCCCTTTACAAAATGCAAACAAGGCATGAAATAACAGACCGTCATGAGCGAATGAGGCTCGAAAGATGCCAGCACATTCTGGATCTCACTGAGGATGGCACGCTGCCCAACTTGGTGTTCAGTGACGAAGAACAAATTGACATTGAACAAAGCGTTAACCGTCAAAATGACAGAGTTTGGAATCGGGATGGGTCTGTGGCAACCAGAACAGCAACACGACGTCAAAATCCCATGTCCGTGATGGTTTGGGCTGCGGTAACCGCCACTGGGAGGTCCCAACTCGTTTTTGACCCCTCAGGAGTGAAATTGAACAGTCAGCGATACATTTTGGACATTTTGGAAGCTGTGTTGTTACCTTGGGCCCCTAAACACTTCAACGGCTCACCATGGTGTTTTCAACATGACTCTGCCCCATCACATGGCTCAATCATGACCCAAAACTGGATTCAGGGACACATCCCAGCGTTCATTAGCAAAAATTAATGGCCCTCAAGAAGCCCTGATTTGAATTCTCTCGACTTTTCTGTGTGGGCTATTCTAGAGAGTAGGGTCTGCAGAACACCTCATGATTCTTTTGATAGTTTGAAGTCTAAATTGACACGAGAATGGGACTTGATCCCTCAAGAAATGCTGAGTGTCTCCTGTGAAGGTTTCCCGCGTAGATTGGAGGCCGTCATTAAAATTAAGGAGGGTCATATTGAATAAATATGTCTGAGAATTGTTTAGGTAATTCTTGGCCACTAGCTCATCCAATAAAGACACAATGCACCCGTTTGTTTCATTGAGAAGTAACAAAAACATGCGTTGCCATAAATATGGCGGACCCTGTATTAATTTTATTGAACTTCGTTATACCAGAGGTTCCATTGAGTATTACAATTATACAAAATAAATTATAATTTAGTTTGCAAAGGTGGCCCAGATTTTATCACTACATACTGGGGAAAATCTTTAACTAAATGTTATAATGAGTTCAAGTTTCGTCAAGAGTTCTCTCACCTGTGCAATTTAGTTCGTCTTCCCCGCCGAGGCACTCTGATGTTTTGTTGCATCTAACTGACATGGGGAGGCATAGGGATTGCATGGCCTGAAGTTAAAAAGAAATAAATTGAACTAGTTCTTATTATGAGAGCATTCAGTTAGTATATTACTCACGTTAAACTGACATCCCACGCAAACGCATCAAAGCAAACTCTCTCAAATTGAATGATAATAAAAAGTGTGGGATGAGTTATTGGACTGAATCCCCAGACTTACCGCAGATTGCGGGGTTTTCATCTTCTTTGCCAGGGCAATCTTGTTTTCCGTCACAAAATAATGAGGCGTTCCGGCACGTCCTTGTATAAAAGCCAACCTCACATGATCGTTGCCCCGCCCCACATGCTGAGATTTTCATATAACTGTAACTTAATTTTTTAAATTTACGAGTCTACTGTTTCATTTATCTTCGTCGTGTCTACAATAAGAACGAATTAGTTCAAATTTTGTGAGCCTTTATATTAATTAATTAAGTAGAAATAAATATGTGATACTTACATGAAAAGTGTTTATCAAGTATTAACTATACAAATATTTATTAGCAAAAAAAAGAGTACAAGTTAAGAGGCAGTAATAGATACCTATTACCCTTATTACCTATTACCCTTATTACCTATTACCCTTATTATAGATACCTCCTCCTGACTTACGGCAATTTAGTTCGTCAGATCCGTCATCACAGTCCAGGACGGTGTCACAGACGAGATTAATACTGATACACTTGTTGTCGCTGCTGCATTTGTGATTCCCGTAACAATCTGTCAATGATTGATTATATTGATGATTGTTATGCGACTAATAATATAAATTTTTAAAACTAATTACGTCTGGTAAAAGAAAGAGGACCTTTTATTTATTGCAAAGCTGTGCGAAATTATTTTACTGAGTCAGAAGCAGAGGTCAAAACTTCCGCTATGTGCAGTAAATAAGATCAAAACATATTTGTGTGTACAAATTTTGTTTATTTTTGTATTCAATACGAACTCAAATGCAAATTTTACAGTTCAATAGTAATTTGAATAATGGACTTACAACAATCTTCGTCACTGCCGTCCGCGCAGTCATTCTTGCCGTCACAAAGTTGTTCTTCAATAAGGCATGTTCCATCGTTGCAAATTATTGCGGTTTCGCCAGGACAAACTGTGCCTTTCGTGGTCTTCTTGCTATTCGTACAAACACCTGCACGGGCAATTAAAATAATATAACCTTGCCATGCTTCTACTGCACTGAATGTTGCTTTAATGGATTTATCAAGCCAGATTAAATTACACAGGCTGAGGCAACCATAGCACAAGCAACTCGGCTAACAGGGACAATTAAACTCGCAAATTATTGCGTAAAACATTTAAATTCCCATGAAAGTAAATTAGGATTAAGAATTCATTATTTAAGCTTTCTAATAGCGTTCTTAATTCCAAACAATATGAAATTATGCTTCATCGTTGCAATGTAATTATTAAATCTAGCCAAAAAGAGAGCAAAAATGAACGGTGAAACATGCCTGGCGTCACCAAGTCAGCTGGGTATCCCTTGAGAACAGATAACGTAGTGATGAAGTTTTCGAACTCAGCGCATCTCTCTGAGTCGTCGTAGCTTAGGGTGGTCACCAATCTAGCCCTTCTGGGAAATATTCTGTGGAAGACGAATCGAAGTAGTTGAAATGTATTTATTCGTTATCTGATATTCGAAGCATTGCAAATCGCATATATAAAAGCATAGAACAAATTATTGGCTTCAAATCTAGATTTTACAGAAAACAGCACAAAGACCGAGGAAATGGTGGCAGGCTGGCAAAGTGGTTAAAGTTCAGAGTACCAAAGAGGTTCTATCACATGTCTCTTTGCGCCAGTTTCTAGTCGGCGAGGAGGCCGGACGGTTAAGCAAAGCGAAGTTGGAGAAGTGAGTTGGGCGTTTGAGACCGCAACAAGCTGTGAATTTTCTATGATGTTAAGAATCGGCGACAGTCTTACGGCTTAATAAACACTGAAACAGCTGTAACTGTGAATATCGCGAGTCGTCCGATACAACAACATAAAGTACGTGGCAGAGAAAAAGACAATTCTAAACTTCGCCTCAACATTGAAATATGTATGGTAATTTTTATCGTGAGCAGCTTAAAATCATTTTCAGACAGCCGGCTTGCAATTGTGAGAAATTCTAAATTTCTCACCAAAAATTATTGAAATTTCGGTTAATTATTCAATGATAATACAGGGTATATAAATATAAAGTAATTTGTTTGAATCGCAGTGCTGTCGTCCTTTGTTCGACTGTGCGGACTAGTCAATGTCGGGCACTGAGAGAACAATCTCTAAAGATTCACATATTTTATGCAGTGCAGAGCAGTGGTAGATTCCATCAGTCCTACGTAATGAGCTTCCAATCCGTATACTTTGTTCCGTGTTGTTCCAGTGTCGACCAGTGTTTCCTACGAATCAGTACATGCAACAGCAACATGCTCGTCGGTTATTAAGTATCTCTAAAATCCTTCCTACAAATCTGATTCTCTATCCCTAGGTTTGCGTGAATGTCGTGTCAATTTTCCTTTTTTTGGGTTGCATCAACTATATGCCAAATTTTCTTCTGTGGGAAGTTGGACGTTAGTTTAAGGCTACGTCTTTCAATTCAATAGCACAATCGAGTTTGTTTAATATTGCAAATCAAAGCTCCGCTGGTCCGATTAGATTACTAAAGTATATTTAAACTCGTTAATTATCTCAAAGCTATACGCAAATTTATAACTACTTTTATTCAAATTTATATCAAAATTATATTCAAATCGAGTTTTATCAAAGTTCTATTCAAAGATACGTATATTCAGATAGCGGGGTAGTGCAAAATCCGATTAGGCTGTTAAGATTTTACTGCTGAGGATTGTGCTATGCTAATTCAAGTCTTTGATCTAATTTCAAACGTAGTTGAACCTCGTACTATTCTTTCTGTATTTCTCAGTCCAACTTCCTACCCCTTCTACTGATTTCCTCTAAATTTCCTAAATTTGTATCTTCTACCGAAAGTATCAACACTGAGCATTAAAAACCTCAGGTCAGTTGCTGCATCAAAGTGAATATATATTGTGGCTTTACATTTGTGTTGTGAGATTTTATTTCCTTGCGGTTTAGTCTTGACTAGGTTTCTTATTTCTTTCTGCAGTATCGACTTTCTGGCGCCACAGTGGAACTTAATTTTTGTATCTTGCGTCGTTACGTCATGCCAACGTCATTACTGCTTCTCGACCAATCCTGAGCCAACAGGAACACTGAATCTACCTACCTGCCTCCCTGAAGCTGTAACGAGAGACCTACTGCTTGGTCAAACTGCCATTTTTTTATGCCAATTGAATCTGATAAACAACCAGAGGAGTGGGAGATGCTCTGATTTTAATCTAGATTGAAAATTAATAAAACTTGAATGCTGAAGCTTAACCTCGAGTGATCATATCCTTGCGGATTTATCATCTCCGTTCTCGTTGGAGTTTCTTGTTGAATTACTTCATTTAAAATAANTCGTGAGCATTTCAAAATCATTTTAAGACAGCCAGCATGCAATTTATAGATTACCGTGATCTGGGGTGAGATTGGCCCAAATTGAACGTATTGTTTTAGTTATATCAGCTTCATATATTATGACCTGATTAACATAAATTCTCAACGTTTATGTGAACAAATTATGTATAATTAAATTACGTACAACTATATTGAGAGACCTCTCAATCACTTTCCACTATGTTCGTGATTTGTTTAAATGTTTGTATCAAGTTACCCAAATTCTAGTGGAAAGTTGTCAGGAAATTGTGAAATGACATTATTTTGAAAATGACATGTGTAACAGCCTTAATACACAGAATACTCTAAACAATTGCAATATTATTAGGCACTTACCTCTTAGTATCTTTTCAATATAATTTGTGTTTACAAGTAAAAGATTGGTATAAGCAAATTTACGACTTTCTCACTGGGGAGAAGGAGCAGCTCTGGAGTTGTGTTTAAATATGGAACTAAACCCAAAAATCACCAACAATAAACTTTTAAATATTATTGCGTGCTGCATGAACTAGAACGAAAACTCGTCTCATTTTCACAATACAACACTGCAAAATTTCTTTTAACTTAAGCCAATGTAAATCCTTGAAGGGCAACGGCATCGAAATAGTTACTTTATCACTATAACACGTTGTCGTTGTTCAAAACTACAGGTGAACTTCGGAATTAGAATAATCATATCTAAAAGCAGCAGTAGTTGTGTTTCTGGATGTAATTAAACCGATTATTCTGTTCTATATAGGCAGGTCTGAAATGTCTCTAGCTCTCTACTATTAATAATTTAATGTAATATTGTAACAACCGTTGACTGCATAGCCAGTTGTATGGGATGGTAGTAATTAACCACTTAATAGCGCCGACGGTTACGATCCCATTTTACGCGCTATTTAATGTATTCAGTCAATGCTGGAAAAGTGTAAAATAGTCGCGGTATTTGACGTATTTTATTCATGACTATTAAGACAAACAAGCATCAGCAAACTCTTTACTCTGAAATTAATGTGTGATTTTCCTTTTTCATTGTCTTATCCATTAATTGACTGAAATTGATTCAATTGTCGGCATTGTTCAGAAGTGTGAAACAATTTCCTTCATTTCATCCTTGAGTTGCTCAATTACAAGCATATTTTATATATGTTTTATGTATCTGCCGATCAGCCCGGTTAGTCGGCTTGTCGGTTCACGCAATGCAGTATTTTGTAATTTGAATACCCGTTCCTGTTCTTGGGAATGCTTGATGTTCAGAATAACCCATAGTATTACTTGAAATTATGCTAGGCAAGTCCTTAAACCCGTAATGGAAATTTAAAAAAATATCTAAATTTAACTCACTTCTCTACTTCCACTTTAACGCTTCCCGGCCATCTCAGCTCAAAACTTTGCTGCAGTTCTTGAACAATGGAGTCGACAGTTTGATTCCTAACGGTCTCGTTCTTTATCACCGATGTGAAGTTCACGCGTAGAATAGCGTTGTATGAATCTGGCAGGAGGCATAATGAAAGTTGAAATTAGCAGTGTGTAAAGGCATGTTTACATGATTTAACTTTCTGTTTACTGACGGGAACTCTGGTTACCAAGCCTGTAGAATTTAACGTCATTAAGAATGAAATTAGTGCCTAGAAAAAATGTGGTATGGGGACATTTCTAGTTTTCGAGTGTTTTTTACTGAAATTCATGAGCCAGAAGGTTTTCAAAAACCTTCGTCTTCTGTTCGTCTTCTGCTCACTTACAGCACAACGCACTCGAATTTCGGAATGAAAATTAGTTTCATTTCAAGAAAAAAAAACACTCACTCGAACTAGCAGCTCGCTTCTCTCGGACCAGTGCCGAATTATGCAGATTTTGATAGCCGAACACGCCCTGTCCAGGACAAAGGAAATTAAATATTACATCATACAGAACAATGAGCGTGCACTGGAATTTGATATATACATATACAGCCGGAGCACTTATATTCTGGATAATATCTTGGAAGAAGACAAGTGGTCTATACAATAATGTTGAATAATTGGCTGTAAGTCGACTAAATTATGATTGTATTATTAGGTTATTGTGCTGTAAAAAGATCTTACATCAACGCTCCAGAAGGCTGAGACTGTGCCATACTGCAGAACCAGGCACAGCAGCGCCAGCAGAGCAGCGCCCCTAATGGTCCCGCTGGGCGTCATCTTTGAGCCTGAAAAAAATTGTCGTCGAGCACCCAGAGAATTTCACTTCTATCGAACAGTCTTCAAAAATATTATAGTTAACTTTGTCGGAACATGTTGCTTGAACTTTAAATAGGGGACCGACTTGGTCCCGTAAGTACATATACATTTACCAATCGATCTTTCTGAAATTTCACACACATACGTAAAATGTAAACTAAAAAACAATTTTCTCGTATGAATTTTTCGAAAAATGAACGAAAACGTGAAATTAATAGAAAACGGTTAAAAAGTGTGTACTGTAAAAAGTTTATAACTTTTGCAAATCACATGCTAAAATATCGAGACATTTCATTCGATTTGGAAGAAAATTATCAAGCGGCCCTTCAGCACTGATTTTCGATTTTGGTCATCATTCGTCTTTTATGCGCGTTATTCCGATTTTTCCACATGTCTCAACCCCTCATCCCCACCCCCACTCCCCCCATATATTAGTCCAACCAAGCACAAATAAAAAAAACAGGCTCCTAGAGTCGCTAGGTATGTAGCGATTCAAATGATATGTCTTTCATTGCTGTAGCTTGAATACTGTAGGAGTTATAAAGTTTTACTCCCCCCATATATTAGTCCAACCAAGCACAAATAAAAAAAACAGGCTCCTAGAGTCGCTAGGTATGTAGCGATTCGAATGAAATTTCTTTCATTGCTGTAGCTTGAATACTTTAGGACTTATAAAGTTTTTAAGATGGCATTTTTTGGATATTTAAATTGTTCAGGGGAGCCAAATAAAGTAACATTTATTGAAAAAAGAAGAATATGGCAAAAATAATTCTTGATATTGTAGCCCAAGCTTCCCCATTGCCAATTATTTGCATTTATGGTACCAGCACGCTTCTTCAGACTTATTCTTGTCCAGTTTAACGTGAATAATAAGCTATCAATTGGACTTTATTATATATATAGTCTTATAGATATATAAAATATTCATTTTATATAACTTCAAAACTGCATTACGCAAATAATATTGCATGTACATACATCCGTTATATATGCTTTGTTGAACACGCATCTTTTGTAGCTTTCAAACAAGTGCAAATACTTAGCAATTAACGTAAATAATGATCCATAAATACCATTTTTAAAGAAAAATTGCAAGCATTGTTATAAAATGCTCATTTTATTAAAGTTCAAAACTGCATTACGCAAAAAGTATTGTATGTACATCCATGGTATGTAGTCATGTTGACCGCGTCTTGTTTGTAGCTTTCAAACAAGTGATAACACTTTGCAATTAACGAGATTAAGGATTTATATATATATATATATATATATATTTATTTCAGGGAAATCTTTGTACATATTACTAAAAAAATGTTCATTTTATATATTTTTAAAATTGCTTTACGCAAAAACTAGAGCACGCCCCTACATGCGGTTTGCTGCGTTAGATGCGCCTTTTCAGCAGCTACGGAATCATTGATAGCCAAGAAAGCGGAAAAGTCAAAATTTTCTATTTTTCACCAAGCCGGTCCCCTTAAATGACATTTGTTTGGTTTAAAATAACTGATAAATCAGAAATAATATATATAGTTGTTTCGTTTGAGTTACCAAACTACAAGAGGTTGAACAATTGGAACGAGCTATACGACGTGAAGTCGTTAGTAGACCAACTGCATCAACCCTGCCTGTTGTATTCATATTTTTCAGCATTCAAGAAGTTGTAGATGATTGAAAAACAATAATTTCATATATTTATTTATTGCAATCCATCATATTTTTCACTGACGAAAGTAACTCAAATTAAGCTGAGATGAGCCGGATAGTACAAAGTGTGTTTGGCGACTGAGAAATTTAAGATTTTGCGGCTGTAGATTTTAAATCAACATTAACCATGAAGTTCCTGAGCATCTGTGATGCTATTTCAGGCTATCCCATTCAGTCTTAATGCCGAATTCATTTAATTATTTACATTTGTGTTAGAGTTCAGAAATGATATGAAAGAGTGGAAATATCTGTGGATATTCTGTGGGCCCAATTTCAGGAAGAAAACTTCGAAGGTGTGGGAAAATTTAACGAAGAATGCACGTGAATTAAACAGTCTATAACTTTGAATGAATCAGCATAATTAAATAAACTCGAAATATAATAGCACAATCTTTGAAAAATTCAAAATTTGAAGATATTTGGAGTAGTTGCATGTGAGCAAGCACATGTGTTAAAAAACTGACAAATTAATCTAATTCTCAGGAATTAAAGATCTCACAAGTTATATGATGTTTTAAAATCAAGTAGAGATAAAAAATTAAAGTGGGAATATAATTTTCAAATGAATTTGACATACCGATTATTCGAGCTTTGAAAATATCCTTTGCTGTGCACGAAATCTGAGTAGACAACTTCAACGTCAGGTGACTGTGTGTCACTGAAGGTGCGCTTCCAATATGAACCTGAAATGAATCATAGACATAGTTCATAAGGCCTTGATAACGACTGAGCTTCTTATCTTATCTTAATCCGTTGGATATTGAGAAATTTCGTACGTCTGAGTAGGTTCCGTCTCATGATATAGCGCACAGATTGCGTCACACACTCATACGATTGATTGCTCGAGATCAATAAATGTCGGTTTATTGCCTTGTTAACTGGCTGAGCATCTAACAATATTAAAGGAGGTCAACTACCTCTTAACATCACCTCCAATTCTGAGACAGACATAAAAGCTAAACAAGACCTAACATTAATATTAATTAATACATTAATTAATACAATAATAAGATTTTATTCATTTTTAGTTTTTTCGAACTGGTGATGGAGGTGGACTCCGAAACGTTTTCAATATCGATATGGTGAATTTGCTTGATGTTTTCTTTGCTTTTAAATTCCTTATGAACTTGCGATATAAGCAGACTGATAATATAAGGACTCCAATTCTGTATTTTATCCCTCACGTTATTCTGTATTTTATCTTACGTTAATAAGTTCCAGATAAAATTGTACAGACTTTCTCTTTATAATACGTCAAACAATAAAAGGAAGGACCGAACGAGTTTGAATTAATGTATTACTGTTGTAATATAACAAGATTTTAATATTACTATGACGGTAGTGGTGGTAACTTGACATTGCAATACGGTCTTGCGCCATATAAACGTGGCTATGAGGAAGTATTCAATTTTGAACGCTTTATCCGAACAGAAAACCTTTTGCATAATGCAAAACGGATCCGTTAAAAAATAAAAAATCAATCTTCTTATCAGAACTCAACGAAATAACTTTTGAATTACGAAATTGAATTAAAAATGTTTTGTAAACAAATTTCGATCATACTGGATTCTTGCAACAAAATTTCAGATTATTATTTACCATCGAAAAAAGATAGCTCGTCGGAACGAGAAAAAGTCTTAGACTCTTTGTACTGAAGTATTTCTCAGAATCAAAAGTATTAGACTCTTTGTACTGAAGTATTTCTCAGAATCAAAAGTATTAGACACTTTGTACTGAAGTATTTCTCAGAATCAAAAGTATTAGACTCTTTGTACTGAAGTATTTCTCAGAATCAAAAGTATTAGACTCTTTGTACTGAAGTATTTCTCAGAGTCAGAAGCGTAATCGACAGTAAGGCCAGGTAGAGAACCGGACTTAGTCCTTAGAGATTTATTAAAATCTTATCTGAGTTGTACGCATGGTTACAACGTGGATTCTAATCATATAGCCTTGCCACACTGTAAACTCAAACCCTAGTACAGGGCTACCATAAACACTGATAGTGAAGCTATTCTGTGTACAATAAATTCTCCACTTGACCTGCAATCAACAATATTACACTTGACTTGCAATCAACAATTTTCATTTTACTTGCAATCAACAATATTCAACTTGACTTGCAATCAACAATATTCAACTTGACTTGCAATCAACAATATTCCACTTGACTTGCAATCAACAATATTCCACTTGACTTGCAATCAACAATATTCCATTTGATTTGCAATCAACAATATTCCACTGTAATTCCTACTGATTATGCCTACTTTATTTAATTAACGGGAAAGCACACATAATTTGAGGTAACACGATAAATGATTGGATTGCGCGTTACGAGTATAAGATGAGCACCTCCAGTGAATGAGCCCGATGGAAAAAGTGCGCGTAAGTCATTCGTGCAGTAAAATTTCCCTCCTTCATACCAATTTAGGCTGAACTAATATCCCATTTTAAATCATAAGGTAACACACAGAAACATGTGAGTTAAGTATTCCAGTGAGATTCATTGGTCTGGTAACGAGTTTAAAGAGTTTTAATAACGAATAATACAATTCTTCTTGATTGCCTTAGTATGTAAGGGAATGCATCTAAAAATCTCGTATGGAATTTTCCTTTCATTTCATAGCTCATTTATGAGATTCATCCATTCATTTGTCTCGTATTCTCCCAATTCTGTGAGGACAGGTTAGCTTCGTTACATGCATTGGGGGATCTTAAGTTCGGTCGACGGACGGGCCACTTTTTATTACTATTTGAAAAATTGCAATAAACTAGAATCGTTTTTCTCTCAGGCCATCCGCTTATATCTGCTTCTGGTTTCCTTCTAAGTCTAATCTTAATTTCATTTTTTTTATCATCAGTCATTATTTTGATTTTATTATCTTTTGCAATCATTGTTACGTATTGATTTAGGCCGTTTCTGAACTGTACTTGGAATCTTATTGCCATTTGTTATTTCAATAATATTCAAAGACAATTTGATTTCATTCTGCATAATGACAGAAAATGAATGGAATATAACCCTTTATCCAGACATGCTTAGTCCCATGACGGGGATAAGCCTGATATGTTCAATTGTCTCACATTTGCGATTGTTGTTAACAAGTCCGAATAACGAGTTCATATTCACTGCATGAACACGGTGAATATCAAGAACTATTTGTAAAACTACAAACCCTTTAGCATCCCTCGCCTCGCTCAATCTGAGCCTCCAACAACAACAGCTTGTAGTCTTTCAGTTAAAAAGTTGTGTAGACAGGCCAACAATTCACCTCTGACCCCCATTAGTCTTAATTTTCTAAAGAGCACTCCATAATCAACTTTTTCAAACGCTTACGCGGAGTCCAAATACACCACGTCCACCCTGGCCCTCTCCTCCAGCATGACCAGGATTTAGTGATGATGCTCCACTGACAGAAAAACAGGAGCGATTTGCAAACAATCGTGTTGTCTTCTGTTGAAAATATCAGCTTCCTCCGTGTACTGCACAAACTTACAAACTTCCTGGATACGACCTTCGCAAATATCTTGATTACATGTAATGTTAATCACATGTAATTAATCCTGCCTGTAATTTTGGGATCTGTCTCTACCACCCCCTTGGTTGATTGGAATTATTAGTCCTAATTATTGGTAACTAGCGACTTTTTTGCTCTCAAGGATGTCTTCCGAAGCAAAGTCAGAGGAGCCTTTATTGCATTATTCTAGGAACTCTGCCCAGGAGCCGAATAAGTCGATATACGTCATTACCCGCACAGTAAGCAAGATTGGAAATGAAAAGTGACTGGAAGTGTGAATTTATTGCAGTGTAAATTGATAACAAGGTGGTCTTTGAAAATAAATATTATGATATGGAACAATACTGTAAATAATACCCTTGGCAACGCGAGCACCTGCTGCGGAGATCAGCCGGAAGATTGACTAAAGGGAAAATAAGAACGGCGATGTTAATTTCCTAAACGGTGCTGCCTAGGTAGAGGGAAAGTTATAATTTTGTTAGAAAATAAAACTTGTAAAATGTGTAACACTACAAATAAACAAAAGCAACGCTAGTTTGCGGGGACACTAAACCATAGCACCGACTCCTCAAAACTATCTATAGAACAATCCGAAGCCTCGCTAACTCCAACAGTGGCCTCACCTCATCCCACTCAGCTATTACCACCTCAGCTACCATCCCTACACACAAACAACTGTCCAACATATTGATAAATTATTATGCCAGCGTCAGTCACCTACACAAGCCTAGGGCAGACAGATAAATGCGCAAGCGCAAGCGCAAATCTCTGCTGGACAACAATTACATCCTATAGCCATAACATCAGACACCTCACACGTCATAAAACGGATCAAAAGTTCTACAGTCATATAGGGCCAAACAACATCTCCAACATTCATCTAAAGCACCTATAGGCCTGCATGGTATCTATACTCTCACAAATATAGCTAACTTTTCATACGTCCACTGCATCTTACCATTAATCTAGGAAACTGATAAAATCATAACTCTTCTGAAACCAAACATACTTCCTACTGAGGCAGCATTTTACCATCCCGCGCCTCCTACCCACTGATAAAATCTACACTACAACAATACATAACAACACTAGACGCTGGCTTGCCAACTACTTACCAGGCTGGCTGTCATTCGTGCCCTACAATGGCAAATCTTCAAACACAAAGAACATATACCGAACGGAGTATCCCAAGGATCAGTCCTCTCGTCAATCATTTTCAATCTTTACATGCATGACATTCCAGCCCCCACTAGTCAACGTTCATTTTTCACCCCAAGCAGACGACATCACAGTTACATCAACACACACCAATGCAAACACACGCTCCACAAAAATACAACCTTACATTACACGAACAGAGGGCTACCTAGCACGCAAGAGACTCAAAGTAGCCCCCACTAAATCAAAAAGCACGCTACTAACAAGCCACACAAAGGAGCATCAACACAGACCAACCACTCACTCAAACAACACCATCATACCACACACACATGAAACCAAGATTTTAGGTAGACTTACAACACTTCCATATCTTTCGGACCACACATTCAGATCATTAAACAAAATGCAGGCCCAGGCTAAACACACTTAGAACATCACAGGAACAACATTCGGACAGAACAACGGAACCCTCACACTAGTGTACAAACAATATTTACTTTCAGTGGTTGAATTTTGTAGTCCAGCCTGGGCACCCATAATTTCACCCACACTCCGCAACCACAACAAACCATACAAAATACAGCACTCAGAATCGCACTTGGCAGCACCCAAATCAAACCATCCAGCCACGTCCACGCAGAAACCAAAGTCCCCCTTCTGAAAGAACACTTAGGTATGAAAGGTGCCCAATTCCTTTCATTAACACTACAACCCCCACAGCCCAGGTCATCGCTTTCAGCATTTACCCCCTACACCCAGGCAGGCTAATATGCATGTAATATGTGTATGACCCAGGCTAATAATGCATACAACTACCATCTCACATTACTTAACTCCTTACCCCCGCCCAGAGACCCAGCCAACTTCTCCAAATAAATACAAACATATCTAACCCGAACGCACTCTCGAATCCACAAAACAACAATATCATAGACGACAGACCGCCAGACAGCAGCCATACAGAAAAGCAGTTGAACCGTGC